AGTTATATTCAGTTATATTTCAGCCATTTTAGAAATAGAAACCTAATATAAACAATAAATACCTCCTCCCAAGTGTACTCTTCATTCGGTGACCTCTCACCTTCCATTGTAAAGGTTTTTCCAGTGCCAGTTTGGCCATACCTGTCAAAATTTTAAAAACTGTTTAAAAAAATACATGCATCTAAACTTTTTCATCAATTTGAAAAATAGTGTTTCACTCACGCAAAAATAGTGCAATTGTAACCCATAATAACTTCATCCAGAATTGGACAAACAACACTTCGGTAAACATCAATTTGTTTAGTAGACGCTCCAAAAACCTATCAAAGAAAAAAAAAAAAAAAAATATATATATATATATATATTAGAGCAATTCTTCGGGGGGAAAAATGTCAAAATTACTCAACTCATTCAGCCCACTAGAAACCATTTGACAGCTCAAAGAGTCAACTGAAACTTGGAATTGACACTAGAACCTAGAGGAAGTATGTATATGAGGATAATTTTACATAGTGCAATTGTAACCCATAATAACTTCATCCAGAATTGGACAAACAACACTTCGGTAAACATCAATTTGTTTAGTAGACGCTCCAAAAACCAAAAAAAAAAAAAAAAAAAAAAAAATATATATATATATATATATTAGAGCAATTCTTCGGGGGGAAAAATGTCAAAATTACTCAACTCATTCAGCCCACTAGAAACCATTTGACAGCTCAAAGAGTCAACTGAAACTTGGAATTGACACTAGAACCTAGAGGAAGTATGTATATGAGGATAATTTTACATTATAAATACACAGGAATTGCAGCATTTAAGGAAGTAGGTACCATATCAAAAGTATATGTCTTCCTTGAGCTCTTGTCAGCCAATCCTCCAGTTCGTACACTAACTTCTTTTCGTACTTGATCACATTCTACTACAGAATGGGCGCTAGCTTTCCGTTCTGCCAAATTAAATGGTCTATAAAAAGAAACACACAAAGTTACTGAAAAAACTCTTAGTTATCAGGTTACAAATAACATTGTCATTAATACTTTAGACAACAAAGTGAAGTTTTTTTGACTACACTGTTGGTAACAGGGATTTCACGGGGACTAACGGTACTGCTAAAGCAGACGGCAGAATTTTAAGTTTCAACTCCCAGAAATAAAAGGGTTTTTTTTAATTTTCAAAGCTACGTGAGACATTATAATTCTGACTGTTTCTCGGAGTAGATGCTAACAGAATTAACTTGTAAAAAATGCCAAACTTATTTTTTAGAATTGTATTTCTATTCTTAGGATCTGAGAAAATTAGGTTATGATAAAATAGAAAAGATCTGTGTTCAAATTACTAACCGAATTTGTGTTTGAAATACTAACCTGATAGTGAATAACCGGCACAAGATTAAAAATAGATAAAAAATAATGACTAATAAATACATTGAGTACTTACTATGTGTCAGGTACTCACTATTCTTTTTTTTTTTTAATGTTTGTTTATTTTTGAGAGATAGAGGAGACACAGAATCCGAAGCAGGCTCCAGGCTCTGAGCCATAAGCACAGAGCCCAATGGGGGCTCGGACTCAGGAACTGTGAGATCATGACCTGAGCCAAAGTCGAATGCTTAACTGACCGAGCCACCCAGGGGCCCCAGTACTCACTATTCTAAATGTTTCACATGTATTAACTCAGTTTGTCCTCACAACACTCTGAGGTCCAGGGGAGAATAGTAACATAAAACTAACGATCATAAAAGAGGTAATGTTTAGAAAGAATATGTAAAGGGTGCTGTCAGAACACACAACAAAAATTTAATATGGTCTTGATTGGGACAAGGAGGGGTAGGGGAAGCATAAACGATGGGAAAGACCCCCAGAGGAAAAAATCTTCTAAGCTAAATTCCTCCTTGGGCTTTTAATAGAGTGAGGATTCTTGATACTGCTTGGGCAAAGTAGCACTATATGCAAACTTCCCCATTTGATAAATGGGGCTGAGTAATAGTACCAACCTCACTGCGCAGGAAAATAAATCCTGTTTAGTTTACCATTTCCCAGTGGCTACTACAATGGTTGAACATGGCAAAGTCTGTTAAATTACACAGCTTAATAAATGTCGGGGTGCCTGGGTGGCTTAGTCGGTTAGGCGTCCGACTTTCATTTGGGTCATGATCTCGCGGTTTGTGGGTTCGAGCCCCGCGTCGGGCTCTGTGCTGACTGTCAGCTCAGAGCCTGGAGCCTGTTTCAGAGACTGTGTCTCCCTCTCTCTCTGGCCCTCCCCTGCTCACGCTGTCTCTCTCTCTCTCTCCTAGAAATAAAAATATTTAAAAANAAAAAAAAAAAAAAAAAAAGAAATAAAAATATTTAAAAAAATAAAAATAAAAAAAAAAAATAAATGTCACCCTAAGGGGAATAATGGAAGAGCTGAAAAGAACCATAATCCATACAGTGGCATCCATCAGATATTTATACTTAACACACATCTGGACCAAAGAAAGATGTACTCCTAACCTGAGTTCACTTTTCCCATTCATATTATTATATGAATATATTATTTCCCATTCATATATTATTCCCATTATCATATATTATGAAAGTAAATGCCAAATGGGAAATTCTTTCTCTTCATTACTAGACAAACCACATCGCTATTTCATTTAAAAAGGATACCTCAACATCCTTTGGCATGCCCCATCCTAGCATATTTTTGATGGCCAGAAGATCACATTTGTGACCCTGGAAAATTTAACTGAGCAACTCCCAGATAATATATAGTGATGCTATCCATTGTCAAATGTAATGAAACCTATACAATGTAAATAACCATGCATGCAGGATTTTTTTTTTAATTTTTAATGTTTTTTATTTATTTCTGAGCAGAGAGAGACCGCGTGAGCCAGGAAAGGTCAGAGAGAGAGAGGGAGACACAGAATGTGAAGCAGCCTCCAGGCTTTGATCTAGCTCTTAGCACAGAGCCCGATGCAGGGCTCGAACCCATGAACCGTGAGATCATGACCTGAGCTGAAGTCGGACATTTAACTGACTGAGCCACCCAGGTGCCCCGCATGCAGGATTATTAAAAGTTCAACAAAACTTGGTCAAAACCAACTTAGAGGTAGGCCAAGAGTATCAAGTAGAATGAATTACTCTCATGTAGTTAAAGTTCTTTCAATCAGTCTATCATTCTTAGCATCTCTCAACTAATCTCTTTGCCTGGATGTGTAATTAAGTTAACCAAATGAATACCATTCATGATGTCACAACTGAACAGTAGATATTCACACATATTACACATTCCTAAAAGTTATCAAAACTCTGAGGAGCTTTAGGGACTATTTGTACTATGATAAATAGTACTGCCAAGCCACTATATTCCTAACCAAACCTCTCTAACTAGAAATTGCAAGGTCCCTGCTGAGGACGCTAACAAGCCCATGGATTTGTTGGCCTCACTGCAGTTATATTACATTCATTCATTCATTCCACAAATATTCATCAAGTACTTATTATATGATAGGTACTTGTCTAGGAACTGAGGATAGATAAGTAAGCAAAACCAAGTTTCAAAAAAACCCAAAACACCCAAGTTCCTATTCTCAGGGAGCTTTATCCTAGTGTTATAAATGGATAATTTAGATGCTGATAAATTAGAAATGAAAATAAATAAAACAGACTAAATGGGATTGGAAATGATGATGGGAGGGGCGCCTGGGTGGCTCAGTCGGTTGAGCGTCCAACTTTGGCTCAGGTCTTGATTTCACAATTCCTGGGTTCGAGCCCCGCGTCGGGCTCTGTACTGACAGCTAGCTCGTAGCCTGTTTCAGATTCTGTGTCCCCCCTCTCTCTCTCTCTGACCCTCTGCTGTTCATGCTGTCTCTCTATCTCTCTCTCAGAAATAAATAAAAAATAAATAAAAACACTTTAAAAAATTAAAAGGAAATGATGATGGGGAGAAATAGGCAGTTGCTAGTACTATTTTCGGGTGGTTAGGGAAGGCTTCTCTGATATTTAATGATACTTAAGCAGAATCTACAAAGTGAAGGAGCCTGTCTTGTAGCTACTTAGGTAGGAAAGCTTTCTAGGCAGAGTGAAATTGCAAAGGCCCTGAGACAGCTTGGTGTGTGATGTGCTTTAAAAATGTAGAGGTGGGGGGCACCTGGTTGGCTTAGTTGGTTGAACATCCGACTCTTGATTTCAACTCAGCTCATGATCTCAGTTTGTAGGATAGAGCCTCACGTCAGGCTCCATGCTAATGGTGTAGAGCCTGCTTGGGATTCTCTCTTTCTCCCTTTCTCTCTGCCCCTCCCCTGCTTGTATATGCTCTCTCTCAAAATAAATAAACTTTAAAAAAAAATTCATAGAGTTTTATGTGTATGAATGATTCATATGGGTTCAGATCTAAACTGCTAAAGCACTTGTCTAGATTAAAATGCCAAGACTGACTTAAATCGTAAAACCTTTATATTACATTCCTTTTTTTTTTTTTTTAAGTTTATTTATTTTGAGAGAAATGAGAGTGTGAGCCGGGGGAGGGGCAGAGAGCGATGGGGAGAAAGAGGATGCCAAGCAGGCTCCTCGCTGTCAGTGCAGAGCCTAACTCAGGGGCTCAATCTTCCAACTGTGAAATCATGACCTGAGCCAAAATCAAGAGTCAGGTGCTTAACTGACTGAGCCACCCGGGGCCCCTCTATTATGTTTAGTAGAATTTATGCTAACCTGCACACTTATACAAGGGGAAAGAAGGTTTTGCAGATGTGTTGTGTGTCTTTGTATATACATATATCAAAGCCTATTTCCTTATTAAAATTTCTCTATATATGAACTATCAGTGTCTCAACTCCAGAAGTTATACCTTTCTCTTGAGCTGTGTATAGGTAGACTTAAAAATTGTCTTCATATAATTATAATACAAGTAAAGAAGATCACTGGGTCGCTCAGTGGGTTAAGTGTCAAACTTCGTTCTGCTCAGGTGAGTTCAAGCCCCACATGGGGCTCTCTGCTGTCAACACAGAGTCTGCTTCGGAACTTCTGTCCCCCTCTCTCTACCCCTGCCCCTTGCATGTGCGTACTCACTCTCTCTCTCTCAAAAATAAACATTGAAAAAAAAATTTTTTAAAGTAAAGAACATCATAAAAGATTATATTCATTGTAATAAATAAAGCCATCTCTTGAAATCTTGCTCATCTCTTAGGTTACAATAAACTGCCAATTAAAAATGTAAAACTAGGGGCGCCTGGGTGGCTTAGTCGGTTAAGCGTCCGACTTTCGCTTGGGTCATGATCTCGCAGTTCGTGGGTTCGAGCCCCACGTCGGGCTCTGTGCTGACTGCCAGCTCAGAGCCTGGAGCCTGTTTCGGAGTCTGTGACTCCCTCTCTCTCTGACCCTCCCCTGCTCACGCTGTCTCTCTCTCTCTCCTAGAAATAAATAAAACATTTAAAAAAAATGTAAAACTAAAAAACAAACCAAAAAAATCAGGGAAGAGTATGTGAAAGAGACTACATGTGGCTTGCAAAGCCTAAAATATTCACTATCTGAGCCCTTAACAGAAAAAGTTGGACAACCACAAGGACCTCATAAATTGTTTACTAATACTTAAGGACATATTTGCGCTAGGAAAGATAGTTGGAAAAGAAAGCATGAAAAGAAAAACATCTTACAAAAATTATTGTAAATAATCACAACCAAAGCACTTTTCATTAGTGACAAAGTAAAAGAAATCTCTTTTTAGCTAAGACTTGAAGTGAATGGGGATAATAAATCATGTTTAATTCTAGGGGTTGAGGAAGGGGTCTGGAGAGGGATACAATGGGACTCAAACTGTAGTGATTGGTCTGTTTCTAATTTGGGTGATGGATACACATATGGTTGTTGCTTTGTTCTCTATAACTTTTTTAAGTCTGACATATTTTGTAACCAACAATAAAAAAGAAAATTAAAGAAAATAAATCCACATAGAAAAAGCAATATTGTCGGGCCTTAATAAAAATCAAAATAATCTAAAAATCTGTGTTTCTATTATGTGCTGTTCATTTTCTTTCAATCTTCAAAACAAGTTAACTATGAAGAGAAGCTCTAGAATACAACTGGTAATTGGTCAGACTTAAGGTTACTAGCCAACTTCCTCTCTAACACTTAGTCTAGAAAACCAGCTATTACCGTGGGCATCTGCAATTCAAGTCACCAAAGCTGAGAAGGCAATAACTTAAGAAAGTTTGTTGCATACGTTTAAAAAATAAGCTTAAAAAAATATTTACAATACTTCTGGATTTACAGAAAAGTTGCTGGCAGTTGGTAGAAGTTTAGAAACAACAGCAACAAAAACACATAAAAAACACACATAACCAGTAAACTGTGGACGGCTTCTAAAAAACTGAATAAATCAATCTCTAATTAAACATTTATATAACAAGTATATTCTCCCTCTACTGGCTAATTTTTTAACTGGTAAGTTATTTGGAAATCAATCTGGGGAGAGTTGAACACCTCCACCTACTCACCCTGAAAAACTGTCTCCTGTGGTTTAGGGAACACCAAGCTGCAATACAATCAGAAAGCTCTACTGGCTTAAGCTGTCTCCTTTTAAAAACATAAACTCATTCTATAACAACCTTTAAATTTTAAATACAGTGGTCTTTCCTTGCTTAGTAGGGATTAAGAAAATATTGCATCAAAAATAAAGAGAACGAGTGATCGATTATGTTTTGAGAGATGACGGAGAGGACGGTAATTTCAACATCAGGACTAAAGCATATGCAAAGTAGGTACACACAGTCTTATTTCCAAACTGAGAAACTGCAAGGAGTGGCACCTAAAAGTGACACCTAAGTCTTTGCTGTCATTATTTTAAAAAGAACACACTTTTCCCTAAAGAAGGACGATCAAATTCTCCTGAATCACAGATTAAACTGCTTCCAATACAAATATTCTTTCTTCTGAAACAGACACTAATTTACTCCTCACAGCAATCTGGCGTCATATTATCGAACAGCATTTAGAGGAACTATGAAACAGGAAGGTCTGCTCCTCCCAGAAAATGCAAACAAAATTACATTCGCCGGACAGCACAGAAGGGAGCCCAGCAGCAAAGCCCGGCACTCAGAATCCTGCCGGGTTCGCCTTACCTGCATCTCACCACCACCTGGATGTTCTTCCCCTTCTCCTCTTTCTTCTTCGCCGAGGAATTCGGCTGGGACGCCATGACGATCACCGCGGAAAGTCAAGGCCTGGCAGCTTACTTGCGCGCTGTGGGGGCGCGGAAGGGCCCTGCGACCGGCGCGGGTCCGGGTGCCCACCTCCCCCGCGGGGTACTGGCGTGGCCCGGGGAACCCACGCAAGCAACTGGGCGTCCCCGCTCTCCACCAGGACCTCTGACTGGCCGAGGCGTCTGTCCCGCACTAGCACTAACGGGAGCCTCGGAACCACCGATGTCTGCGCCCGAAGCCTAGGAAACCAAGCAACGACTAGGCGCCTCAATTTGAAAAAGGAGCCGAGATGCCGAACCAATAGCAGCGCAGGCGCGCGGGGCACCATGGGACGGGGTGTCGTCACCAGAGCCCCGCCCTTGAGGCGTGGCCCGCGGGAAAGTAAAAAGCTGGTCTGTCCGTGCCTTTCTGGAACTTGTGGTCCAGGAGGAGAGACGCGCAAGTGAACGGTGTGACCCTTCACCGTGACCTTGCCCGAGTTACATAACTTCTGTAGAGACCAAGATTTCCTCATCTTCAAAATGGAAACAATAGCGACCATTTTAGAACGTTGTGTGAGAATTAATGAGCTAGTGCGGGCAAATAGCTTAGACTAGAACATGTGTAAGGAAAGCTGGCCACGATTGTAATTATTATTAGCGAATGGTAAGAGGGTGCTGTGAAAGCACAGAGGACAGAGGTCAAATAAGAGCCCTTTTCTAGAAGGCAGCGTCCAGAATTGCCTTGAATAATTAGGAAGTGTTAAGAAATAGGGCTACCATGGGTACCAAATTGCGATGAAAAGGATGTTAAATGTCATTTCCAGAACTCTGAATTTATCCTTTAACTGATGAGAAGATGTCATTTAAATGATTCCAAGCCAAAGGCAGTACCACACTCGCCCTTTCGGACAGCCCTTCCAGAAGGACTGACGCAGGCTCAGGCTGCGCTGCTCTCTACGTGGTGCCGCAGCCCGCGGGGGGCTCAAGGAGGTTGCGCCGTAGCCCGCTGCGGTCAGCCTACAAATCCCAGCAGGCAGAGCTCTTTGGGCCCCGCCCCGGCTCGGTAACTTCCGACTGTCCGTAGGCGTCCTACAAGAGTCCTTGCGATGTCTGGGGTGACTCGACCGCTTCAAGTGTGGGATCGAGGCCCTGGAAAAACGGTCATGGGCTTGTGCCGTAGTCGTCTGAAGGAGCTGCGCTTGTGGGCCACACTTAGCCCACAGGAAACTGGGTACCGTTTTAGTTTTTTAAGTAAGGGCCAGATGGAATGGAAAACTCTCAGGCGCCTTTGTGTTCCTCCACGTATTAACCTCCTGCATTACCCCCAAGGAGACATCTATATATACAGCTCGGATCTCTGGTCATCTTCCTTACGCATACCAGGATGTCTGCTGATAATTCCTTTACGATGGCTCACCATCTCAAAATGGACCTGCTGAAAACGGAACTCTTTATGCTCCTTAACGCCGCCCTAATCTTTCTCATCTGGACCTATGGCACTAACTAGACTTTGATTCCTACATATTCCACCATGTCCAGTGGACTCCTGTTGGTTTTATCACCTCTGCCAGCACTCCAGGCCAAGTCTCTTATCTCTTCTCTGAACCACTATCCTTAACGGATCTCCATAACTAATGCAGTTTTCTCCTCTCCCCACCTCATTCACTCAGCAAAGGGAAGGATCCTTTAAAAGAATTACATCAAAGTGCCTGGGTGGCTTCCCTCGTTGGGCGTCTGGCTTGGTTTCAGCTTAGGTCATGATCCCAAGGAATTAGATCATGGCCTTCATTTACTCTTAAATCTTACAAGAGCTTCTCATTGGGGTGCCTGGGTAGCTCAGTCGGTTAAGCAACCAACTTTGGCCCAGGTCATGATCTCATGGTTCGGTGATTTCAAGCCCTGCCGTCAGGCTCTTGTGCTGATAGTTCAGAGCCTGGATGGAATCTGCTTCAGTTTCTGTGTCTCCTTCTCCCTCTCCCCTGCTTACGGTCTGTCTCTCTCAATATGTATCTCAAAAATTAAATAAACCTTAAAAAAATTTTTTTAAATCTAAAAAAAATAGCCTCTCATTGAACTTATAAGAAAATCCAAACTCCTTACCATCTTCTGTGAGGCCTTCATGATACATTGCCTATACCAAAATCAACTCCAGCTACTAACCACATAGCTCACTACCATGCTTCAGAGCTTCTAAGCTCCTTCTTGCCTCCAGGCCTTTGCATTTGCTGTACACTCTGCCTATATCTTTTAGTTTGGTTCTTTGCATGATTGACTCATTCTTATCCTTCAGATCTCAGTTCCACTCTTTTAAAAGGATTTTCCTGGCCACCCTATCTAAAGCATATTCCTCATTTCAAGACCTTGTTTATTTCTTTCATAACAGGTATTGCAGTCTGTGATTACATTGTCAGTGTATTATGTCTCTACCTTGCTGGAATGTAAGTTTCATCAGTGATTATGGATTGTCTTAGTCACTGTTGTTTTCTTAGTGTTCTTGAACAGAGCCTTACACAAAGTAGCCAATAAATACGTGAGTATTTCAGGTGCCTGGGTGCTTCAGTCTGTTAAGTGTCCCACTCTCAGGTCATGATCTCACAGTTGGTGATATTGAGCCCCGCATGGGGTTCTGTGCTGACACTGCAGAGCTTGGGATTATATGTCTCCCCCTCTCTCTGCCCACCCCCCCTCCAACCATTGCACTCTCTCAATCTCAAAATAAATAAATGTTTAAAAAAAAAAAAAAACATACAGGGGTGCCTGAGTGGCTCAGTCGGTTAAGCATCTGACTTCAGCTCAGGTAATGATCTCCTGGTTCGTGTGTTCAAGTCGCACATCGGGCTCTGTGCTGATAGCTCAGAGCCTGGAGCCTGCTTTGGATGCTGTGTGTGTCTCTCCGCCCCTTCCTCACTCTCTGTCTCTGCCTCTCAAAAATAAATTAACGTTAAAAAATAAATAAGTACTGGGGCGCCTGGGTGGCTTAGTCGGTTAAGCATCCGACTTTCGCTTAGGTCACGATCTCGCGGTTTGTGGGTTCGAGCCCCGCGTCGGGCTCTGTGCTGACTGCCAGCTCAGAGCCTGGAGCCTATTTCGGAGTCTGTGTCTCCCTCTCTCTCTCTGACCTTCCCCTGCTCACGCTGTCTCTCTCTCTCTCTCCTAGAAATAAATAAAAATATTTTAAAAAATAAATAAATAAGTACTGGAAGGAAATTACTTAACCTTTCCCAACCTTGGTTACCTTATCTATAAAATGGAGATAATAAAGACTACTGTTATTTTTTAAAAATTTTAAATGTTTATTTTTAAGAGATAGAGACAGAACATGAGCAGAGAGGGGCAGAGAGAGAGAGAGACACACAGAAACTCAAGCAGGCTCCAGGCTTTGAGCTGTCAGCACGGAGCCCAACAAGAGACTTGAACTCACAAACCATGAGATCGTGACCTGAGCCAAAGCTGTACACTCAACCAACTGAGCCACCCAGGTGCCCCAATGATTACTATTACTTTAAGGATTAAAATAATATATGTATAAAGTGCCTGGAACATAGTATACCAAAAAAAAAAAAAAGTTAAGTTCTTTTTTCCTCAGGAAATATTTAAATAATATTTACATTAACAGTTATTTGGGTTGATGCAAGACATTCAATGGTCTCCATTTGGTAATAGTTATAGCTTCCATTTATCTAGAGCTATGAAGTGTCAGATTCTATGAAAAGTTTTGTATGCATTATTTCATTTAATCCTCAGAACAATTCTCTGAAGTAGGGACTATTATTTCTCATTATTTTGTCAATTCATAGGTCAAATAAGTGTATTGTCTGTATTCATTCAGCTAATAAGTGACAGAAAAAGAACTCAGAATTCGTTTTTATTTCAAATCACAGATTGTTAACTATTATCTCCGCTACCTATCTTTTCTTGTTCTCAATGCACATACATCCACTTTAATCACATCCTTCTTGAGTACTTAACTCTGGTCCAGGCAGAAAAGATAGACCATATTTTAGTTACTGTCCTCAAGACTAAGTCTAATGGAGACAGCCAGGGTCTTATGGACATTTGTAAGAGTTACACCAGGCAAGCGGCTCTCTCTGATATGTTATTTTGCAATGCCCCAATGGAGTCCAAACTACTCAGGCTAATCAGCATTTCTCTTTTAAAAGTCTGTCTATGATTAGAACTTATTTTTAATACTCTAAGAATAGTTAACCTGGATTCTACCAATGCAACATCACTGCCCATGTGTTTTGTCTGGCATTTCCCTTTCAATAGTGTGTATATCTTACCTAAGTTAATTGATTTTTATTTTTCTTAAAATAAAACATAAACATTGAGTTAAGTAGTCATAAATGGCTTATAACAAAAAGCTATTTCCCTGGCCCAGTCCCTCCAGACCTCTACTCCAGAAGCAACCACTTTCAATTTGTTTTAGCTATTTTTTTCTAGCACATAAACATTTCCATTTTTGTAAGGAATTTGTATCTACTATTATCATTTGATTACTCAACTTCAGACTTTATTTTTTGACTTCCTGTTATGGAAAATAAGGATTTAGTTATCAAATGTTATGATCCCCTTTGCTTTCTCTCCCCCATACGTCCAATATTACAATATTCGTTAAATCAAAATATATTTAGGTTATTATACCTATTCATAGCAGAACATTTCAGTCTAGTGAGATTATGTTCTCTTTCTTTTTGTCTGCCCTAAAGTTAATAACTGCCTGGTTCTGTTTGCTTACTTTTCCTTGTACTTTTCCAAATTCTTCCTTCAGCTCCCTATCAGTAAAGTTTCCACCCATTTCAACACATTAGAAATGTATCAGTTTCACATTGTTTGTAATTGGACCTCTTACTCTCTAGACCCGCATCCCAGCTGCCATCCCAGTGTTTCCTCCTTTTTTATCCCAGGAATTCCTTTTTCCTATTTCTTGGGTTGGATATGTTTTCTGGATCTCATTTGTGTACTTTTTCTTGGTTTACTTCATTATTTAGGTGGTTTATTTATTTACATCCTGAAAAAGACTGCAGAAGAGATAAATTGCTTGAGAACTTGTTTTTATTCTACCCCGACATTTGATTGTAGGCAAGTTATACGTAGAATTCCAGAATCTAAGTATTTTTTTAATGTTTATTTATTTTTGAGAGAGAGAGCGAGCTCAGGGGAGGGGCAGAGAGAGAGGGAGACAGAGTCAAAAGTGGCCTCATGTGGGGCTTGAACTTACAAACCATGGGATCATGACCTGAACTGAAGTTAGACAC